TTAGCGCTGGGAGAAGAAGTGGCGGAAGAAACTCCAGCTACGCTTCTATCGTTGACAGGTGAAAATCTGCCTGCTATGAGGCCATATCGCGAGAATGATTGCCGTAGCCGGCAGCGACTGGGATGTGTAGTGTGACTGCGAAGTTGTTTAACCCTAGCCTGAGCGATGGTAGTTGCGTCATCTTGAAAGTCGAGGACGTGCCTAGGTCTACGATAATCATGGCGAAATTTACCGAGCGCGATTGGATTGTAGGTGACGGCACCTACAACTAGCGGATTAGGATGTGCGGCGGCGGAGTCAAAATAACGACGCGACGCCAACTTCAGGTGCTGGGCTATGGTGGACAAGTCCAGGTCTATGTGCAGATCACTGTTGCGCATGTACCACGGGGCTCCCGTGGCTCTACGTAAAAATCTGTTCTGAATCACCTGAAGTCGATGTATTTGTTTCGGAGCTATGTGCGCGAATACCGGACTAGCATACGTCATGACGGGACGTACTACTGATTTATAGAGTGTCACCTTGTTCCGAAGGGACATTTTGCTCTTTTTATTGAGTAGTGCGGAAAGACGACCTAGTATAAAAGCCGCGCGGTTTCTAACCCGGGTTACGTGTGCGGAGAAGTTGAGTTTAGAGTCCAGGATGACACCTAAGTATTTAACTTTGTCTTCCCATGGTATTGGGCTGTCCATGAGTGTGACGGATGGAAGACGAGTCACTTTTCGGCGGGAAAAGTAGAGCGCCGCGCTTTTGGTAGGGTTTATTTCGATCCTCCATTTCCGAAACCAGGCACCAAGGGTGTTGGCTGCAGTCTGAAGGCGTCGACAAATAGCTTCGGGCTTACGACCAGACGTGTAAATACAGGTGTCATCGGCAAATAATGCTAGTTCTACACCATGTACGCGCGGTATATCGTTGGTGTAGAGCGTAAATAGGACCGGCCCTAATACCGACCCTTGAGGCACCCCGGCTCGAACGGGGTGCGATTGAGAACATATTCCCTCGACGCGGTAGCGGAACGTGCGATCACTTAGGAAATCTCGTATTATGCATACGAGACGGTCGGGTACTCCGTA